TATATATATATATATATATATATATATATATATATATATATATATATATATATAATATATATATATATATTTTGTGTATGTTTTTATATTTTGTAAAACCCCATCAAACACTCTACCACTTTCTCCGCTTACACAGTGCAGACTGAGCAGCAGCATTCCTCAGCAGCCAGCTGGCAGCAAACTCCTCGCGGTGAGAGAAATGAAGGAACAGCGTGCAGCGCACTTCTACAAAAAAAAACAATTCAAGGAGAATGTCTGTGCTGCTGTTACTACTTAGATATTACAGCCAGGGCTCGATGAAGGGGCAGCCGATGAGGTCTTTGGTTTTTTTTGCCTGTACCTTTGTCTTGAGAAATACACGCAAACAGTTACTGTTGCTGTTGACATCTTTTTATTAAAAGGAGATTCATGCTGCCGGTGGCTACAGAACTAGCTCGGCTCAACTCTATGCATATGCATGCACGCACTAGTGCTCAGCACTTGTTACCAGTACTCTACGTGATGGGGGCTGCACAGTTGTTTTTTTTTCTGAAGCTACGGCGAGCGGATGCAACCTATCAGTACCTCCCCTGGCGCAGTGTCTGCGCATACACTCCGCGGGCGGCAGAGAGAGGAGAAAGCAACCCGCAAGGGTACGCGCAGAAAACGGCAGCTGAATCAAGAAATGAAGTATAACTCCAATATATTAAACATTCAACTCAGATCATTCCACCGCGAGACAATCTTATGCATGCGGCATGCATGCAGCATGTCGGGGGTCGACGAGACAGTGCGTCTATCAACGTCCCCAGCGTCACTCCTTTCTTCTAAACTAAAGAGTGAACGCGGCGCCAAAAAGAAACAGAAGATAAGAAACTCCAACGCAGAGCAGCTTTGCTGCAGGAAACGACGGAGAAATGCATGCACCCGGAGGGGACTCGGACGCCAGCATGACCTGTGTACGCTTGTGCATGCATTCACAAGTTTGTTGGTCTCGCATGCGACTACATCCCTGCTCGTACTGCATGCAGGCCTTCAAGCAAAGTTACTTATTGGGAGAGAGAAGAAACGCGTCGCCGCCAAAAGATTCATCAGACACCGGAGAGCGTTTCTAGTTTGTGCAGTCCCTGGCTGCGGCAGCCCCTTTTTTATAACGGCCGATGTACGTAACACCGCAACTGGGGCAATACACTATCAACAAGATGACGGCGGGAGAAAAGGAAAAATAATCACCTGCTGGTCACAACATCTCAAGGGCTGCGGCGGAGTAGCAGAGCGCCGAGAGTTTCTATACGTCAGGCGCATCACCTCTAAACTAGCCATCAATCCTTGACCCTCTTACAGAGAATCTTTTAGGAGTGGAATAACGAAAGAGCTGTTGAGTGGCTTTGCCAGCCCGCCCCCACAGCTTCACAGTCATGTATACCGAGGGGACCACCAACCTCCTCGCTAGTACACCCCCCGACGGCTCCGATGCTTGCCGGCGATGGTTCCCCTTTCCTTTCAAATGAGTTTTACTTTAGTTAGAGCTGAGATACTGGCGGGGGGCTGCACTTCTCGCTAGCCTCAGCAACGAGCGAGGAGGTAAGCACTCCAGCATAGAAGAGAATCTCAAGGCAAACTCAGCAGCACGGGCACCGAGCTCATCCTCAGCTCGAGTTGAGTTGCAGCAGAAGGAGTGGCGCAGGTGTACACTAAAAATATCTTAACGCTCCACAGTTTTATAAAAGTAAACACTATCGGATGGGGTCTATCGAGTGCAGCTACCACGGCCCCAGGGAGATATCCCCCGGCAGAGAGTTCATACGGAGCTCACCAGCCGCAGGCATGCTCGTGCAGTGGTGCTTGCGAGTATATACCCAGAAAAAAAAAAAATGACGCGGGTTCGATTCCCCCCTATGCGGTATTTATTTGTAATGCAGTGGCGCCCCCGGCCCGCTACTCTCCAGGGTCGCTCGCCTGCAGGAAAGTACTCTCGACGGCTGCGGTGTATGCAGAGCTGTGAACACCCAGGGCAGGGCAGAGAAAGAG